AGTCTGGAAGCTCCACTGAAACCTGTGTACCATAGGTAACCCTGCTCACATGTTGTAACACTGGTAGCATAGCCTCCAGCCTCACAGCAACACATAAGCTGCCATGGGATGACAAACTGACAGATAAGTTTGCCTCCTTTATTTTCTAACCTCTCTGTGCCCACGTCTCCAGAGCCCAGCCTTAAATAAAGCTGCCTCCAAAGCTGAGACACGCAGCCCTTAGCCTGTGCGCCTGCCCTCTCCGGGAACCGGCCTTAATATAAAGCTGGCCCTAAAGCTGAGCCAAGCATCCCCGAGCCCGTGCCTCTCAGGGCAATAGGCTCAGGGATTCCTCCAGCCTAAGTGGGTCCAGTAAGTTTGGACTCTTCAAGAATCTGAACTTTTGTTTAACAGTTTTCCCCCTTTCTGTCATGATCCATCTATTGTGACCCCAACCAGAACATTCGGTAGTGGTAGCCAAGCACCATCTAGTTCTGGTCTCAAGGTGAAGGAGGCTATAATTCACTGAGACAATTAGTCCTGCAGTCCAGTTCCTTTTCTAAGTTTTGGGTTTCCTTCTTTTGCTCTGGGAGCTCTGGTAGCATAGTGCCTAAGGCATTTGACTGCTAACTAGAAGGCTAGTGGTTCGAACCCACCAACCACTCCTTGGAAGGAAGATTGGGCAATCTACTTCTGTAGTGATACTGCGTTGGAAGCCCAAGGAGGGGTCACTATGAGTTGGGTCCGACTCAACGGCAATGACTGTGGTTTGGTTTGATTCTTTTGCTCCAGAGGAATGAGGACTGTTAGTTTGTCTTAGATAGCTGCTCATATGCTTTTAAGACCCCATACACAACCCACCAAACTAGGAGGTGGAACATAAACTTTAAGAATTATGTTATGCCAATTGACTAGATTAACCCATGAGACCATGCCTCTAAGCCTTCAAACCAAGAAAACTAATCCCATGAGTTGACTGTGTGTTAGTAGTATCAGCATCTGTAGCCCCTTGTACTTTATTTTGTTAATTATTATTTTTTGTTGTTATTGTTGCAAAATTATATATAACATTTGTTGTTGTGTGCCGTCGAGTTGATGCCGACTCATAGTGACCCTATATGATAAGGTAGAATTGTCCCATAGGGATTCCCAGGCTGTGATCTTCATGGGTGCAGAATGCCAAGTCTTTTCTGTCCCGAGTTCCAACCACTGATCTCTCAGTTGGCAGCTGAGCGTTTAACCATTGTGTCACCGGAGGTGCTTATATATAACATAGCATCTGCCAGTTTATCCTTTTTCTTGTGTACAACTTAGTGGCATTAGTTACATTTGTCAAGCTATACAAACTTTACCCACATGCAGTGCCACTTTCCCATCACCATAAACAAAAAGTAACTACTACCTAGAGAATGATTCCCTCATTCCCCTCGCCCCTTCCCCTGGTAACCACCAATGAACACTGGTCTCTGTATTAACTTTAGGAGACCTGATGGTACACTATAATCTGAGTACTCTGTGCAGACTTGTTAGATTTTCTATTGTGAATTTAAAAAAAATATTGTTAGAAGTTACTAATGAAATTCATATGTTTATTTCCCTTTGGTATGTCAGGCTACAAAAAAATAGGAAAAAAAAAAAATTGACCTGACATTTCTAAATAGTGGTAGGAATTTCAGAGAACCATTGCTCTTATAGGGAGCTCTAGTGGTGTACTGGTTAAGGTATTTGCCCGCTAACCAAAAGGTCAGTGCTTCGAACCTATTAGCCACTCCACAGAAGAAAGATGAAGCAGTCTGCTTCTGTAAAGATACATAGCCTTGGTGTAATCGGAATTCTAGAACAAGAAGAAACAAATAAAACCACAGAGAAAATTGTCCAAGATTTGTTGGAAGAGAATTTTCCTGGTATGATGAAAGATGAGAATATATCCATTCAGGGCATCCAACGAACCCCAAACAGGATAGACCCAAAAAGAAAATCATCCAGACATATTATCATCATACTTACCAAAACCAAAGACAAAGAATCATGAGAGCAGCATGGGAAAAACAAAAAGTTACCTACAAGGGGCACCCCATAAGACTGAGCTCGGATTTCTTGACAGAAACCATGCAGGCAAGAAGACAATGGGATGGTATATATAAAACCCTGAAAGAGAAAAATTTCCAACCAAGATTTAGGTAACCCAGCAAAATTGTCTCTCAAATATGACGGTGACATTTCTAGATAAGCTGAAATTAAGGGAATTTGTTAAAACCAGACCAACCTTACAAGACATGATAAAGGGAGTCCTTTGGACAGTGAAGCACCAACAGCCAACAACAACTGACCATTAACACACATGACAATATCACCCAGAAACCAACCCACCTATGGCAGTATCCAAAGTCAATAAACCTACAAGATTGTAAACAGGGAACCAGAGACATCAATTGACAAATGAGGACAACTTCACACCAAAAAGAGGGAAAAAACTGTGTCATTACAGAACTTCTAGATGGTAGGGAAGTCAAGACAACTACAAGATAGAGGAGACTGTTCTAAACTTGGGAAGAAAACTATAAATCACAGGGTGACCTCAAAGAAAAATGATAAACCTTCACATCAAAAAAGAAGACCAGCATAAATATTTAGCAAATATTAGAACAATAGCAGTGAGGGAAGTGATAACATGATTCATAAACAAAATGAGCTCAGCATAAAAAATTATATGAAACAGAGAAACCGACACCACAAAAAAGCACATGACAAAAATGACAGCAACAAATTCATATTTGCTGATAATTACATATCTGGCAAGGGACTTATCTTTAAGATTTATAGTGGAAGACTGGATGACTAAACTATGATACATACACATAATGGAATGCTATTCAGCACTAAAGAATAATGTAGAGTCTGCAAAACACTGCATAATATGGATGAACTTAGAGGACATTATTCTGAGTGAAATAAGTCAATCACAGAAGGACAAATACAGTATTAGTTCGTTATTGTGGAGGGTCAAGGAAAGGTTTGTATATGGAAGGAAACTTTCTTTGTTGGTTGCCAGGGGTGGAAGGGGAGGGAAGGGAACACTGCAAAAAAAAGAAAAAAAAAATGTATGTCACTTTAGTTTTGTGTATTTCACTGTACATAAATTACATTTCAATAAAATGCTTTTTTAAAAAAATACATAGCCTTGGAAACCCAGTGGGTGTTAGTATTGGACAGAATCAACTCAATGGCAGTGAGTTTGATTTTTGAGTTTGTTCCTTTTACAGTTTTATGACTAAAAGTCAGACTGGTAGTTAAAGCAGTAGAAGACACTGAAAATCCATTAAAGTTATTAGAATGTAGTGCCTTATAAGTAAATTTAGAGTTTTAAAATTGTACTTTATAAATAGCCAGCTTCCTATTTCCTATTTTCATTAGAAATAGTAAATAAATACTGTGTTAGACTGGGTTCTCTAGAGAAACAAAACCAGTAAAGCTTATATATATATATATATGTATATATAGAGAAATTTATCTTAGGAAAATGTCTCACAGTTATAGAAGCTGGCAGGTCCAAAGTTCCTGGATCAAACGTCAAGCTGGAGGCTTTTCCCAACTCTCGCAACTGCAGGGGCTGTGGAGCTCAAGGCTGGCAGGCAGTACATCGGCTGTTGACTCCAACAAATGACAAATCCAAGATCTCCAGGCTGAATGGTGGGCTGTTCACTTACGGACAGTTGTGGGCAGCACCACAGAATCTCGATCCACGGAAGAATGTCTCTTTTCCCAGAATGTCCTTGGATATACTAGAAGCAGGCCACACCCCTAAGGAAACTCCCTTTCAACAGATTGCCTGGTCAAACATAATCATCTGATCCCATCATGGGAATAATCACATCACAACAGCTTAAACCACACAGAATTGTGGTCCAGCCAAGTTGACACACAGCCCCAACTATCACAAATATGCTATCACTCTGTGATCTGGCATAATTAGTTGCAGCTTAGCCTTAATAGAATTAAAATTGTTGATACTTTTATGTGATTATAAAGTAGGTGCTAGACAGGGCTTTCGTATGGCAAAATGTGTCAGGATTATATAAATCAATATTCTATTTGGATCTTCTTTTAAATGAATGGGTTAATTTGTGTAATGCTTTTTGTATATTTAGTTTCTAAAGGTTTTTCAACCTAATAAATAATTTTAAAGGAAAACATAAAAAGTTGAAAATCATAAATACAAGCAGGATGATAAAAATTAAACTGTTTTCAGCTAGTTTGTTTGCTGCCAGAGCATCCATATGGCACATGCTATTGTCAGCCCAGTGGGTCATCTGGAAGTTGTTGTTAACCATCCAGATGCTTTCCTCTTTTAGCATTTGGTGGTTCAGGATTAAACATAAACATCTATCAAGGAAGCCCTTTTCATATAATGGTATGTCAGATATGGAAACATGATATTTTTGGGGAAAAAAATTCTCCCCTCCTCATCACTTTATAAATGTTGAAAAAAAAGTGACCAATATTAAGTCTAAATGTTTCTGGTGGAGTCCAGATATTGGGTTTCATATTCTTGACTGCTTTGTCAAAACTGATTTGTTGGTAGTTTTTCTGGTTAATTTACTTTAGCATTAATATGGACTATAGCTGCACTGTAGCCTCAGAGTTCTTGTTAGTCTTTAAGCTGCACATTTTTCTGTCTCCTGTGATTTATTCTGCATGAAACCTTTTCTAGTTTGTATATGAATATTAATTCTACTTAACTTGTAGTTCACGACCATAAGGATCTCATTAGGGGATACCTTTGGCAACAGAGCATCACATGTGAACTAAAGCTAGAAGTTAGACATAGCACACTTGTCTAGCAACATATTATAAAATGTGACCCATCAGAATTCACTCCTGGTTTATAGAAATAATTTTTCTGTAAATTGTATTCTTGTACAGATACATGTTGATTACTCAATACCCTTATACTTATTGTAACTATATGTAGTTATGTTGGCGTTTCTCTTTCTATATCTCTGGGTATTTTTCTCCATCAGTGACCTGAAGATAAAGGTTGGGGGCAGGCACATCAGTGCTCACAAGTTTGTCCTGGCAGCCCGCAGTGACAGCTGGAGTCTGGCCAACTTGTCTTCCACGCAGGAGCTGGACCTATCAGGTGAGTCTCCGGCCTGTCAGGGACTCAAAATCGCCAGTCAGGAACTCTTAGCAGAAGGTTATAGTATCTTATTTTGTAATACTCATAATGTAATGAAAGTAAAATAGTATTAATTGATATTGCCCATGAACTAGTTAAGTGATAAATGAGCCAGTACATTGTACTTTAGTGGTTGCTTCTGTTTAGTACCTGGTTAATTAAAAACCAGTAAATATTTGAATATCTATATGTTCTTATAATTTATAAAATGTGAGTATCCAGAAGCTCTTTTCATATAAATACTTTTCCTAGTTTACAAGAATTGATTCAAAAGTAATATGAAAGGATGACTATCAGTTGTCTTCAGAATTTGAATAGGTGCATTCAGCTAGTAATTGCTGTTACTTAATTGTTTTATGCCACATTATGTTACTTAGAATTTGGGTAAGTACAGTAGTAAGTGGACTCAAAAACATCACTTATTAAAACTTGACTTTAAACTCAAATTTTCATTTACAATTTACCTAAGTGCTTTTTTTTTAAAAAAAGAAATGTTTATTGTGATTTGGGTGAAAGTTTACAGAGCAAATTCACTTTCCATACAGCAGTTCACATAGACTTTGTCTCATGACATTGACTACAATTTACCACAATGCAATAGCTCCTCTCCCACTTCTTCCCAATAGTTACCTCTTCCCTGTGTCCATCCCTCCATGCTTTCATGCCCCCTGAACTGTCTCCCTGTGCATATACAGTCCTTCTTTCTCCCATGATTGTTCTCTCCAAGGAGTCTATCTATCTCAGGTACATGTTCAGCTCATATGCCTGTCTTTTGTTTGGCTGGAAGCCACAGGTATGGGTTCAATTCCAGACCTGAAGGGTAGCTAGGGGCCATAGTCTCAGTGGTTCCACCAGGCTCTATCAGACCAGCAAACCTGGTCCCCCCTTTTTTTTTCCCAAATCATTTTGTGTTTTGTTCCACATTGTTCTGCCTCTCTATCCAGGATCTCCTACATAGATCCCCCTCTGAGTGTTTGACAGTGGTAGCCAGGCACCATCTAGTTCTTCTGGTCTCATAGTCATATAGGTTGCAGATGTCGCATGTACCAGTCGCTTGGACTAATTGTTTCCACGAATCTTTGGTTTTCCTCATTTTTATATTACTAACAAGTTGTCAATCCCCTTGATGGGCCACAAACACCATATATTTGCATAGTTCCACCCAGTAATCTGGTGAGAGTCAGAAAGGCCATGGGTAGAAGAATCATACCAAATAATTCACTGTATCACACCAATCAGAGATCTTAGGATCCCCTGACATAAGAGCTTATGGTGCAAGTCAGTCAGGTTTCCTGGAATGTGTTCTGGGCCCTGTGAAGGTATTCCAAAGAGCAGAAAGCATCTTTCCTTTCTCCTTTTCAGTCTTTTAGGAAAGCTATGCACTGAAGCACTGCGTGGGGAGGTTGCCCTGTGCCATGGAAAGAGCATAGACTTCCAGAGACTGTGCTGAGCTACCCCTAAGGTGTTAGAACCAAGTCGCAGGACATTGTAGATAATTCAGATTTTGAAGAGAAACACAGCATTACTTGATATCTGCTGGAAATTCGTGAAGTATTAGCTCAGACTTGTTCAGTTCCCATGTTAGATTATGCTATGTTCCTTTTGATGGCATCCATGGTAATTTTAAAAGATGCCCACATATTTGATGCTCTCTCTTCAGAGGTGGAGCCAAATGCCTCTCCTCTTAAGCATAGACTTAATGACTTGCTTGCCACTAATGAAAAGAATGTGACAGAAGTAACAACTTGTTACTTCAGAAATAGGATCATAAAAGGCATTGTGGTGTCCTTCTTGCTCTCCTTGCTCTCACTTGTGGATTGCTTAGTTTGTGGGAAGTTAGCTGCCGCGTCGTGAGAACACACAAACAGCCTTAGTGCCCTCCTGCCAACACCCATATGAGTAAGCCATCTTGGGAGAGTACCTTCCAGTTAAGCCTTCCAATGACTCCTGCCCTGGCCAACAACCTGACTACAGTCTCACAAGAGACACTGAACCAGAACCACCCAGCCAAACTGCTTCCAGATCCTCAGAAACTGTGTGATACAACAAATGTGTCTATTTTGAGCTAAGTTTTAGGGTAATGTGTTACATTGCAGTTGATAACTAACACAATGTCATATCTTTACAAAGCTGGGTTTTTGGCAGTCAGTGTGATTAGAGGCAAATACCATGTGAATATTGGTATGTAACAGGATATGAGGGTCCCAGTGTTGGGCCTGATTCCAAGATTTGGGGGTTTGTGTAATACCTCACAGGCACACATCCATTAGTAAATGCTTGTGTTTATTTAAGAATGAAGTAATATTTTTAATTTACATTTTTTTTTTTTCCAAGTGGCTATTAAATTGTTAGGATATAAGTACCTAGTAAGTTGTTTGAACTTAACCTACTTAAACAGAACTGTTAGGTGTTCTTTTTGGCCTAAGGAGCATGCTGTGAAAAATTTTCTGAGATTCTAAGGGTGGCATAGGAACTCTAGTGGCATAGTGGGTAAGGTATTTGGCCGCTAACCAAAAGGTTGTCAGTTCAAACCCACCAGCTCCCCCATGGGAGGAAGATGAAGCAGTTTGCTTCATAAAGATTTACAGCTTTGGAAACCCCTATGGGGGTTGCTATGAATTAGAATCAACTTGATGACAGTGGGCTTTTTTTTTTTGGTTAAGGGCTTCATGAACAGAAAGTTTGGTAATCTTCAGTGTAGGCCTTGAACTCTGCTACTCATTCACGGTTCAGATCCTCGATGTGCCACTCACTAGCTTTGTAAATGGAGAGAGCAAGTGAATTAGCCTATCTGAATCTCAGCTTCTCTAGAGAGAAGAATGCCTCATAAGGTTATTAGCATATTTAAGTAGTAGGCCAGAGTAGTGCTGCTCAAACTGTAAAGTGTGTATGAGTCCAAAAGATAATAGACAACAGAAGCAAATATTGTTATAAACACAATGCTGCATTACCAGTAACAACAAACACTAGTCTATGGGTAAATGTGTAGACAGGTGAGATCAGGTGTGGGTAGGTGAACAGGAATATACTTAAGACCATAGAATATATCTTGCTGATGATGTTCTTACATGTGTGTTTGTGTTGAAAAATATCCACGTACATTATAGAAGTAACAGGACAAGATTGGAGTAGCTTCTCAGTGACAGCCAAGCACTTTAAGGGAGTGAATTACCAGACCAGGCCTGTGGGCTTAGGACCATGGTCTCAGAGGATATTAAGCTCAGTTGGAACAACATAGTACATAAAAATCTTGTTCTATATCCTACTTTGGTGAGAAGCGACTGGGGTCTTAAAAGCTTTCGAGTGGCCATCTAAGATGTAACTATTGCTCTTCCCTTTTCTGGAGCAAAGAAGAGAGAAGAAAATCAAGGTCATATGGAAACAATTAGTCCAAGGGTGTGATGGACCATGAGAACCTCAGCCTTCATGACCCTGACACTAGAAGAACTAGATGGTGCCTGGCTACCAATGCCAACCACTTGGAAAGGGATCATAATTGGAAATCCTGAATAGGGTGGGAGGAAAAATGTGGAATAAAATTCAGATGACCAGAATTACTGGTCGAATAGAGACTGGTGGAACCCCCAAGGCTATGGTCCTGGGTTATCCTTCAGAACTGGAACTGGGCTTACTTCCATGAATTAGCTCTCAGCCGAATAGTAGAAAGGCCTGCAAGCAGAACACTTACGCCAGGGAGATGCACCCTTAGGTCAAGCAACCGTGAGACATCAAAGGGCAGCATTTGCATAGAGGGACAGCTGGACAGACAGCATTGCATAGATAAGAGTGACACAGGGAAGGGGCAGTTACAGTTACTGGTTATTATTGGGCTTGTAACTGGGGCTCTGAAATCAAATGTGCATGAACTGTTGAGAGTAAAATGAATCTGCTTTGTACATTTGTACCCAAATCACAATAAAAAATTAAAAAGTAAATATCACAATAAAAAAATAAAGTACATGTGAATCACCTGGGCATCTTATTAAAATTCAGATTCTAATTTGGGAGAGTGGAGGTAGGGCTGAACTTTTTTTAATTTTCCCCATGGGTCGATGCATTCTTTTTTTTTGCAGTGTTCCCTCCCCTCCCACCCTTGGCAACCAACGAAGAAAGTTTCTTTCCATATATAAACCTTTCCTTGACTTTTCATAATAATGAAATCATACTATATTTGTCCGTCTGTGATTGACTTATTTCACTGAGCCTAATGTCCTCTAGGTTCATCCGTGTTATGCAGTGTTTTGCAGATTCTACATTATTCTTTAGTGTTGCATAGAGTTCCATTGTGTATGTACCATAGTTTCGTTACCCATTCTTCTGTTGATGGGCACGTAGGTGGTTTCCATCTTTTTGCTATTGTAAATAGTGCTGCGATGAACATGGGTGTGCATATTATATGTTCCTGTCCTGGCTCTGACCTCTCTAGGATATATACCTAGTAATGGGATTGCTGGGTCAAATGGTATCTCCAATTCCAGCTGAGAATCACCATACTGCTTTCCACAGCGCTTGTATCACTTCACAGTCCCACCAACAGTGTATGACAGTCCCAGTCTGTCCACATCCCCATCAACATTTGTTATTCTCTGCCTCATTGAACCTTGCCATCAGTGGTGGGGTGAGATGGTATCTCATTGTTGTTTGGATTTGCATCTCTCTGATGGCCAGTGATTGTGAGCATCTCTTCATGTATTTGCTGGCTGCCTGAATATCCTCCTTGGTGAAGTGTCTATTCATGTCTGCTGCCCATTTTTCAATTAGATTGTTAATCCCTTTGCTGTTGAGGCATTGGAGTTTTCTATAAATCTTAGAGATAAGTCCCTTGCCAGATATGTAATTATTGACAAGTGTGAATTTGTTGCTTTCATTTTGTTATTTGTTTTTTCATGGTGTTGATTTCTTTGTTCCATATAAGTTTTTGTGCTCAGGTCATTCTGTTTATGAATCGTGTTATCACTTCC